TTTGCCGGGCTAACGAGTAATCGCCAATTTTGTAAAATCGATAGCTGGCAATTATTTACGATCTTTGATTGAGAGCACAATTAATTACAAAGTCGTGTTCGCGGGTTATTATTCGGTTCTATTTAGATCAATATTCCGATTGTATTTATATAATATTTAATTCAACATAATATATATCCGGTCGGGAGAACGCGAGTGCAGGTGCAGATCGATGACTAATCAGTGATTCATGAAATTATAGCCATTTGACAAATAATGAACTATGAATGCCGGCCTAAATTCCGGCACGGTTGCTTCTTCATTCTCGACAAATTTATCAAACATCAGTTTCAAATCGGAAGCTTCTTGTACAATGAATAATTTTACACACCTGGAAATATTAATGAGCGACCCAGGACGTCCTGCGTCCTTCAACCTGGTTTCCCGATTCAGCATCCTGCTGAATCGTTGCCCCGTGTCGTAGCACTCCGGATGCTCAACTCCGTTGACACTGGCGCGAGTACGACTCGATCGCTTGTCAATTAATGCGTTAACGATGACAGCCCGATTAAATATTTCACTGACCGACGAAATATCTTAAGCACCCGACGAGGAGAACGATAGCTAAAAGCTAGGGTTGCCAGATTTGTGAATTGGTAGGCGAAAAACACGAGGAGCCGAAAATGTTGAGGAGCAAATAAAAGGTCGTCGGGGTGGAACGCCGTCCGTCAATTTTCTCAACAGCACATATTACACATTTCGCATATAATTTTACAAAAATGTTATCCGAGAGGTAGTAACTATAAGATAAGTCACTGTGACGTGAAGCACGTTTGACAAGAAAAGGAAAAAATTTGAATGCGGTGCTGAGAAAGACAAATAGCATCCTTGCCGAGACATGGAAATTTTAATTAAAAAGAAGGAGAATCCTTCCCAAAGGAGGACACATCCGGCAACTCTAGCTAAAACTCACCGATATACGCGCATCTCGCTCCCTCCGGCTCGGCACGTAATGAAAGCACTGGAAAAAGCCCGCGACGCACGAAGGTAAGTTTGTTGTTGATTGTTTTGATCACTCGCGAGCGACCATGGCTGGCGCGATTCATGCGGGATGACGAGGCACTTTTTGCTCGTTGTTCTGGTATTGTCGAGTGTTGCGAGCCTCTTCGTACGAGTCATTACGGAACGAGCTGACGAGCTACGAGTGCATCGCGGCGCGCGATGCACTGCGCGGCACTTATCACATTCGCGTGGAATAGCGCCAAATATCTCGTCGGGCCCGTGAAATAATCAGGCTCTCGTCGGCATCGTGTTGATTAACGCGCGCACTTCTCCGTTGTATCCGCGCGAGTGTCGGTGCGTGTCAATACAACGACGAGTATCCGGAACGCCGGAACGGAGCGGTGGGGATACAGGACGTACCTGGAAGTCAGATGAAGGACGCGCGAGTCGCCGGGACGCGGGCAGCGATACATTGCTTCACTCTGTCAAGTGCGTGAAATCGTTTGTTATTGTAATCATCGATTGAAGTTTCGGGCTCGGACAAGTTTGGAGGAACTTTCCGAGAACAAGCAGATGGAAGTTCCGACCGATATTCATCCGACCGTTATCGTTCGAAAAATAATTACGGCCCCATGAATCTGTAATTGTTTGTCGGGCTTCGCTGATGCGGCTACGCAGCAAGAAATATTCATCCAAGCCGAGTATAACAGCTCATAAATACGAAGCGGCAACCAATTATACTTTTCACCTAAGATCGTAAATAATTTATAATTGCGAGTGCGGACTTTGTAAACTAGTCCGCGAGTCTCGCGAATGTTGATTTAACCGTCTAATACCGGTAACATCGAGGTAGCGCGCGATACCGCGCGCAGTGTGTATATAACCCAAGATTCTCCATGGGTCCTTCAAGTTCGACGGGACTTGCGGGGTTAATACAGAAGCCAAATTCCCTCTCGGGATTCGCCTCGCAAGTGCGCGATATCCGCGCCCGCGACGCGCGCCTCGTATCGCGCGTATCGCTGCTTCGCGATATAATTATCAATTTCACCCGGCCGACAAAGGAGACGGCCGGCGACCCTTTTCCGCGCGAAATAATCTCAAAGGGATCCGTTTTCAACACTCGCACACAGCGTGTCGATGTGTCCGCGCGCGCGCGCGCGGCTCGTGGCGAAAAGTCTCCGTCGGTATTATTACGCGTTATTGCCATTGGAATATTGGCAGCCGAGATCGAAGGAGAAGGAGAGACAGAGGCAGGGAGAAGAGGAGGGGGAAGGGAGGGGAGGGGGGAAAGAACTCAATAGGGTACACCGAGCGATGTCGGTCGTAGAAAATGGCGGAAATATAAAGCTCTAATAGCCTTTGGCGGGACGGGTGTATCGATTTCCACCGTCTGGCGCATTAATCGATCGTAAATGTTGCATAAATACTTGCGCGGCCGCAACGAATCCGCCGAATAGCTCCGCGCGCGCAATAACGCCGGGGCTTTGCTGGAATTCAATTCATTCGTATGGGCCGCGTATAATTCAATTTAACGCGCACGGCACCCGATGTGTCGATTACTTTTATCATCGGATCATTGCGTTTCGGTCATCTGCCGGGATGCCGGGATGCTGACGTACGATACAGCGCGCGATCGACGCGCTACGGCGACGCAACCTCAATCTAACATTATCGTTTCTCATTGATTGATTCGATTAATCTATCAATTATGCTCTCGCTCCCGGAACGCCCTCCTTGAACGTCCAAGGGACGCGTTGACGCGTTAAACGATTACACAGTTCGTACTGGACAATGCGGCTCATTCACAACGTATCCGGATGGAAAGAAAAAGAGAGAGAGAGAGAGAGAGAGAGAGAGAGAGAGAGAGAGAGAGAGGGAGGGAGGGAGAGGATCAACGTATTTTTCTTTCTTCAACTTTTTGCGGCGGATTTGATGTCGCGAATGTACGCTTGAATCTGCGAAATCGATTTCGAGCGATAACTCACTCTTGTACTCCGTACACACACACACACACGTCAGATTTATTCTCTCGCTCACGTTGAGACACTCGGGCGCCACTCCGGTATCTCGCACGCACGCTCTATTAACTCCTAAGCTCTCGTTTAAGGCGAAACGGTAATTGAAGTTCCGACAGTGTATAAATATGCAAGCACATATTTCATCGTCTCGCGCATTCTAGCCGGACCGTAAGTAAATACGACGGAACAATGCGAAACTCGAATTATCGCGCTCGACGTCGTCGTGCATCATCGGACCTGCTTTGTCTGTCGCTGATTGCGCGGCGCATTTATTGCGGTGCGCGGGCGTGCCGATGATGATCGCGAGAGAGACAGAGAGAGAGAGAGAGAGAGAGAGAGAGAGAGAGAGAGAGAGAGAGAGAGAGAGAGAGAGAGAGAGCGCGCGACAAAGCAGACATCAAGTTGCGCTAATTAAAAGCGCAAGCGTATTAATAACCCGTTGCCGATCGCATGCTAATGCGATTAGCGTCGTCGCGGTTTGGCCGGCTCGCAAGTAGGCGCGTACATATTGACACACTCGTCGAAAGGCATTTGTGCTAAATTCTCCGAGTATTTTGAATATTCAAATGCACGGACGCGCTGTGAAAGCAAAAGCCGGTCGTCGTCAGCGAGAAGGGAGGGCGGACGGGAAGGACGGGCTGCGAGCGGTCGCAAGTGTTTGCACACGGGAGCTTGGAAATTGTGAACATTTTCGTGCGACTCGATCCCCGACGCTCTCTCGTGCTCGAGAGAGGATCGATACGAAGGCTACAATTAACTGGATACAGTCCGCGGCCGGCCGGTCGGCAGGCAGATATTTCACTGACTCGCGCAAAATATTTCGTCGACTCGGCCCTTTTTTTCATCCCGCGAATTTCGGCTCGCTGCCCTCGCGCCCTCGCGAGCGCAGCAACAACGGGGAGTTTTCCCGGTCGGTCGCGCGAGATCGCGCGGTGATTTCTCAAATATTACCCGTTCGCTTCATTGAGAGCAACGCACGCGTGCGAGTGCGAATCCGCGGGCAAATCTACGAAAAATTCTCGAGATAATGGAGGCCAGGCGCGGGCGCTGCTCGCCTCCATTCCGCACGTGCAAACTTTTCGCGTGGAAGTTGTCGAGAGCGACGTTGTCGTCAACTTTCCACCGATTGGATATGGATTTTCGATATGGGCTCTTTTGGAAGCGTGCTCTCAATTATTTAAAGTGGCACATTCGAGATCGATAATTCGAGCTAATCGATGGAAAATGAAGAAGGGAAGAAAATACACGAGTCTCGAAAAGGGAGGTCACGAGCGGATACCTACTTTGTCCGTTTTATCGCGCGATTGTGTTCAAATATGACAGAATGTGCTTATCTCGCGGTGACCAGGTGCGAGAATAAAGTGCGAAGGAAAAACGGAGAAAGAGAGGGGCAAGATGGAAAGAGAGTCGGAGCTCTGTGAGCTCCGAAAACCCCTCATAAACAGCGGATCGTTACCAAAACTTTTAGTCAGCCTCGAGTTACGATAAGATACGGTAAGACCAAAAAGCGCGCCGTAAGCTGTTCCTCGCTATATAAAATAATCCTCGTGCCTTCTTCCCTTCACCCTTAATATTTCTAAACTTTCTTATTTCGACTTTCGCGCAAAGTCCACTGAATTGTTTATGAGACGCATGCACAGGTATCTCGTCACCCTTCGTTACGGGCATTTTGCGCAGAAGAGCGCAGTATATATAATTCAGACAGAATCTCATTTCTGTTCACATGAATATCAACGCGGGTTTCATTGTTAATTGTAACAGCAGTCGCATATGGAAACGTTTTTCGCCCCGAGAACATGCAATTTTTTGCTCTCTGATTTTGCCCGATATGTAGTTTTGCTTTCTCTCTCCCTCCCTCTCTCTCTCTCTCTCTCTCTCTCTCTCTCTCTCTCTCTTTGCAGTAATATCAATCGCGTACGTATATCGCGCCATCGAGCATAACGATCACGCAGTCATAAAAAAACGCAATAAACAGAACAACGAATAAGAAAGGAAACTCACCTTGGAAAGCAGCCTCGAAGGTGGTCTTCTCCTCCACGGGGTTCTGGGCGAGCACCAAAACGAGCGACAGGTATCCCAGGATGACAAAGAGCCGGCAAACGCGTGGTCCAGCCATCGTTTGGCGTTGAACATGCACGCGCTGGAGTCGATGAGTCCTTACTTTATTGCCGCATGCTCCAGTAAATACGTGTTCGACCACCACGCGGCACACGCGGCACTGTGCCTCTCTCTCTCTCTCTCTCTCTCTCTCTCTCTCTCTCTCTCTCTCTCTCTCTCTCTCTCTCTCTCTCTCTCTCTCTGTCTGTCTGTCTGTCTGTCTCTCTGTCTCTCTTTGTCTCTCTCTGTCTCTCTCTGTCTCTCTCTCTCTCTCTCTCTCTCTCTCTCTCTCTCTCTCTCTCTCTCTCTCTCTCTCTCTCTCTCTGTCCCTTCTATCCCTCTCTTGATCGAGTCACTAAATTACTCGCGACAAGCAGCACCAGTCGAGTCAAGACGCACCGATAATTCCGAGGACACTCTCGTCACAACGCGACAAACTGATGCGGCGATCGATCGACAACGCGAAACCCGCTGTGAAGCACCCTGTGAAGCAAAATTCACCCTTATCTCAGGGACGTGCATTACAGCTCGGGTTGCAGCGAGCTGACGCGAAGCGCGGATGAAATTCGCCGGGAGTACGGAAATAACGTCGAGAACGTCGCGGACGGGAGGACTTTGCCGGGATCGGCACTTAGCGTTTCGCTCATTTCGCCGCACCGCTGATCCAACGACACCATCTTGCTGCCGTGTACAAAAGTCACGGGGGAGAATGAAACGTGTGTGTAACCTTTCGCCGAACGTGGCTTCGCTCGATAGTTCCGTTTTAGCAAGACGGCGCTAAAAACGCCGGGGCGAATATGTAAGGAGAATTCGCGGGGCTCGATCTGCAAAATACATGAAGACGCCTCGCGACGAGTCGGCCATGTCGCGCCGCGATCGTCGCGAATATCACTCCGCGCTTTTTCGCGAAAACGTCAATTGACACAGGTCGCGGCCGATTCCGTTGCAAATGGCGTGTGCGTAACAAAGTATCCGCGGCGTTTACTATTCTCGTTATATCATAGCAAATGATAGGTCTCTATTTTCGCGCGATATCCGATGCAAATTTACTTGACACCGTATGCATATCAATGCGGGCATGCATATTTCCCGCGGGCTCGCACAAAGGGGTTGTTTTCTCGCCTCGCACTCCGTCTCTCTTTCTCTCCCGACCCGACCGCTCTTCCCTGTGTCTGCCTTTCTCTTTCTCCCTCCCTCTCTCTCTCTCTCTCTCTCTCTCTCTCTCTCTACCCTATCTGCTCTTTTTTCTTCGTGAAATTCGCGGAGCGAAGGGACAGGATATATAATCGCGCATTCTGCAGTGAGAACTCCCGAGACGCAACACGCGCGCGGGAGGCACGAAATCCGACAGGATGTTCGCGTCGCGGAAAATGCAAGGCGAATTGCCGCAACAGCCGGATTAACGCGCGGCGAGCCGCCTACGAGCGCGCGCGCGCGCGCGCGCGGATATTAACCCGAGTTTTGAATGAGATTTTTCGCTTATCGTCGTCGCCGTCCCTACTCGTTTGTCCCTTCCCGTCGCAGCGACAGCGTGCAGCTTCTCGCCGCGGGGCGAATGTACGCGCGCGAACGCGCGAGCGTGAACTCGCATGAGAAAAACGAAACGAAATCGACGGCATTCCGCGGTTGAAATGAAATTTTCGGAGCATCGTCGGGACGCGTGATTTCATTACACGCGTGTGCGCGCTCAAACGACCACGTTAGGAGAAGAGGAAGTTAATGCCGTACGTAAATCTCACTTTTGCCGCGCCGCGTCGATTAAAATCAGCGATTCGTCGCCCCCCCCCCCCCGTACGTGTGACGGATTCCTCGCGTGACAAATGTTTGACCGATCCTGTATTGTGCCCGTTGTGTGTCTCTAATTCCGTACGTTTTTTCCGACATTTCAATTGAATTCGCACAATTTCACGACGTGTTGTTTCTCGAGCGTGCTCATATTTTCTGCCATTACCGAGCAGAATGTAAAACCCGGACTGATGTGATTCAAATTATTCCGTGCTGTATTTTTACTTTCAATTTCACACACGATTATGTCATTGTAGGCTCTCGGTGGGCAAACTCAAATCTTACAAACGACTTTAAAATATGACGTATGTATGTTAATACCACCCGCGCTGGATTTTTTTAAACTTCATAAGAATTTTCTATAAAAATACAGCACGCTGCCTCGGCTCAAGTCGGATTAATATACGTATCGAATGAGTCTCATTATCCGTTAGTAAAGGTTGGTTTCATGTAACCAAGCAAGGAAAAAGAGAAATATATCTCGAATTGCATGTGCTTTCTCGACGAGATATTCATTCTCTGCGTATGCAACTGCGATTGAATAAGGGAATAATTTAAGAGGAAATTGATATTTGTCGTACGGAGCGGCGAATAAAAACACGTCAGCCCAGCGACGTGAGTGAAGTTTGAGGGGAGAATCGAGATAAAAATTATATCTCTCGAAGGGTCTGTCTCCCGTAAAATACGCGGAAAAGTTAAGTAATCGGTTTGTCGATCGTTTCAAGCGAGCTACATCGGCTGCCCCGGCTGCCGTCTCCAGATTTCGACGGGGATCGAGGTAGACGTGAAGCTCGATATCGACTGTCGTAGCCGATAGTTGACGTTTCGGCTTAAGTCACCGGCTGGTGTCGCGAAGTTGCGGTAGATAAGATTACCCCGGCAGGGCTTGGTGGCCGAAATTTCCATTCTGAAGTCGCGCGATGTAAAGCTGAAGTCGTAGGTAAAACACGTCGTTTACATCTATCGCGTCGCGCCCCGCCGACATCACCCGAATATCGAATCGCGCGGCGCAATTTGTCACTCTTTAACCCTTTCTTCGGCTTTTCCCTCGGCCCGATGTTGTCGTTTCCAAGCGGAATTAGGAAATACGGTCGAAATGTTATTTTCCTTCGCGCGGAACTCTCAGCCGCGGTCCGAATGCTATTTGCCGAAGCGAGCTGACATGGAAAAATTTTATTCGCGCGATTTTCTCGGGCTCGGCAATCAAATCGATTACGCGAAACAACACACGACATGTGGAATCAAAGAAAAATAAATTTCACACAGACGCGAAATTATGAAAACCAGCCAGCGCACCGAGTATATTAAAAGCGACAGTACGAAATGGTCGGCAAACAAAGTTCTATTATCGAATCAGCCGTTTGTAGAACAATACGAGAGAGTCACGGTAAATTAATTCCGGAAATCCGTAGAAATAATCTGGTTAAAAAAAAAACTACCTACAAAACTATTTTTTTTTACGTTACTCCCGTATAATATTTTATAACCGGGATTTTTTTTTTCTTTTTTTGACAAACACCAACAAGTAACGGCTGTAATATTTGCTACTGCGATGCAATTGCAGTTTTTTTTACACTTTGCACAAATATTGTTACACACGGTGGAATCATTTTACATACGTCGCATGCACTCTCCCGGATATCTCGTGTCAATAATATAAAATACTCGTCACTAATCGCGCCGGTGATGTCAGGAGAATAAAAGTTTTCCCGAGACCGTAGAGTTTATCCGCGCTGCACTACGACGCGACGAGACTTTTTCGTCCGTTCTTCCCATTTATTTATTTATTTATTCATTTATTTACCGATTTATCCCCATCTAGATTTGTGGTGTGTTTACAGAGTTCGATGGAAATGTTCGGGCTGATGTTATTTAGACAGGAAATGGAATCGCTTATCCCTCACCCTTGATATGGTACCAATAAATCCCTTTTCCCGCAGAGATGTGAACTCAACCGTGATTTCACAAATGACCGGATTCGACCGTTCTCTCCCTCTGTCTCTCTCTCTCTCTCTCTCTCTCTCTCTCTCTCTCTCTCTCTCTCTCTCTCTCTCACTTTTTCACAATAGCTTCGATCGCGATTTTATTTTGTTTCTACTTCGCGACGTCGCATCGCCCGCCAGCGTATCCGGCACACGACGACGTCCGACGCAAATGACTCTCCGATTTGCATGCAATGATCCTAATCGTCATATTTATCATTCGCGCGCTGAATGATTTATACGCTGATATACCGCGGGATAGATTGTCTCTCGAGAGAATATCTGTTATTACATTTTGCCCGTTGATTGATGAAAATATATTAATGGCTTATTCCGTCGTATTATTAGTGTACAGATCTATTTGTGCGTTCACGACGACGAGTTGTATATACCGTGTGAAATTAGCAGGGGCATAAATTAAATATAACGTGTAATTTCACGCGTGATGTGTGCTGTCTATAGATATTCCGCATGTACGCGGAGAGAATGTACGTGATAAAATATATAAGATTAAATCGATCACTTTTGGCCGCGCAAATGTCGTCTTCAGCGATGTTCAGCAACTACGCGTATCGCGTATAAGTGATACGGTCCGACCGTGATATCGCGATATTTTATCAACGCCGGCGTATTTCAAAAATTCTTCGTTTGCGCTTTTCGGCCCGTGGGTCCCCCGTCTGTGTTGATCTCGTCAATATCGAGACGTCCACACAAAAGAGTATCGACATATAATTTTGCTGTACCGGCAGAGGTAAATTATGCGCGCGATACGCGAGACGACTGATGTTTTCGTAGCGCGTAATAATAGGATGTTTATGCGCGCGTCGTATGATCCGTCGAGGATTTTTGAAGAACGCGAGACGGCGAGAAGGCGAGAGCTTTTATCCGCGCGATACGACTTAAGCTACTGCGAAATACAGTAACAAAGGAAAGAATCGGGTTACGCTAGTGCCATTATCCGGCGACTCGATAACAAACAGATTTTAACCCTTAACAAACTGGCGTCGCGTGTAATTCGACACGTAGCTTGAAGCCATTCCATGTCACATCCCAAATACTCTCTCGCGCACTCGAAATTTTACGCTATTTATGTTACCTGGTAATCCGAGTCGCGCGACGCGTGCAACAAAAATCGCCCTGCATTATTCAATTCCTCCCCTTCCCCCTCCCCCCTCCCCTTCAAGATGCGCTTTGCAACAGATGTAACGTTAACGATAAATAAGAGGTGAGAATGATTGTAAAAAATTGTTCGACAAGACAGTGTGTGGCGTTAATATCGAATCGGTCTTTTCAACTTTTCAACAATCTTTTATAGTATCGGAGATTCACGTCGGAGAAATGACGCGTCACATTTTATCATCGCGCGCGATTAATCTTCGAATGTAACTGCGAAATCGAGTGAATCTTCGAGAAAAGAATCTACTGTGTGTGAGAATTCCTCCCTTTTAAGTAAGTTTCCCACTCCCGCGGCAGATACGATTTGTGTCTTTAATGCATGAGACATGTAGGTTATACAGGTTATGTGGGTTATTCGTCTTATTGGGGACTTAATTTCCCGTGTATTTGCGTATTAATAGCCTCTACTGTGCCCAACGATTACCGGATAATCTACACGGCTGAGCGTGAAATTCGTTCCTCAGGAAAGGTCGGCTTTCTCCGAGTCAGCGTCGTGGTGGTGGGAGCAACAAGCAACAACCTGATTCCGCGGATGAGACACGATCTATTCTGCAACTGTGCGGCGTCGATTTGCCTGTAGCGACGCGCGAGTCGTCGAAAATCGCGCGGCGGCTAAATTTTGATCGATAAGCACGGAGGTGACTCACAATGTCGCGCGAACTCACCGTCGAAAACACAACGGCGGCGGCGGCGGCGCGGCGACGGCGGCGGCGGCGGCGGCGGCGGCGGTGGTGGCGGCGGCGGCGGCGACGACGGCGAGAATTCGCAATGCGTGCGAACACGCAACCTATCGAGCGATCGCTCGAACGCCACAGGCGAACCGAAAGGCTGAATCAATAAGAGAAAAAGCGTAGCGCTTTCGCGATGCCCTTCGGCGAAGGGTAGTGTATACGCGCTGTTCGGTCGTCAATCGAACGAACGAACCAATAAACGAACGAACGAATGAACGAACGAACGAATGGACGAACGAACGGATAAATAGACGGACGAGAAGCGGTCAATCGCGCGAACGTCGCGATGTCGCAGAATTCGACTAGCATCGAACCCCTCGTAGGGTTTGCGATAATCCATTCGCCAACACCGTAAACCCCGGCCGAACGCGTCGCCGGTAAGCTCCCGGCTTTCCCCGTACCTGTCTCGCGCAACTCTCTCTCTCCCTCTCTCTCTCTTTCTCTCCCTCTCTCTCTCACTCTCTTTCTCGACTAGTTATCTCGCTCCCTTTCGCTTTCTCTTTCGTTCCGCGGGCGAAGCAGCTTTTCCTCGTTTCCGACTTTCTCCTGTGGTATCCTTCCGTGCGAAATTTGTCTCTACCTGTACGCGAACGACGAATATTCGAACGAACGCACACACGCGTCGCGGAGCGTCGCGACGGCCGTCGGTGCCGGCCGGTGTCTCCAATCGAACTGCGGGGGTAGCTCGACGGTGGCGCCGCCGAGGGACGCCACCACTACCATCGCCACCACCACCGCCACCGCCACCGTCCTCGTCCTCGTTGTCATCGTCGTCGTCGTCGTCGTCGTCGTTGTCGTTGAACGTCGACGTCGACGTCGACGTCAACGTCGTCGCCGCCGCCGCCGCCTCCACCGCGCGGTATGCGTCATAACGCCGCCGCCGCCACCGCCTTCGATCGGCCGCCGCCATTTTTTTGCCTGAGCCGCCGCGTTACTATCCCCCTGAAAACATTTCGCCTGGAAATGCGTGCCTTCCGATCGAGGGTGCGCGAGAGAGCGGCACAAGGACGTAGCGGCCGAGGTGTGAGCGAGGCCGCGTCGCGTTGCGCGTGCAGCGCCGGTGGTGGCGCTGCGTTCACCGCGCGCCTTGAGATATATCTTTCGGCCTTTCGAAAATAAGATGGAGTCCGGGAGACTCGAAAGGCCGACCGTGCGAGTGAAAAATTGCGCAGAGTTGCAGGTAATTGAGCATTATTTATGAGAAAGCGATCGAACCGTGCGGTTTGCGAGCTCGTTCATTCATATATTATTGATTCGTAGGTTTTCGTACAGTGTTATCTGTGTATCACGTACTATATCGTTATCGCTAGCTCGCACAACACACAGAGATGTCCCGAAGACGTCGTAAAGACGTCCAAACAAGGCGTTCTACTTTTCTCTCCGATGTCACGGACGCCTTGGAAACGTCTTTCAGACATACGTGCTACGTAGAATTTTACTACACTTGGCAATTCCTAACTGCATGACTCATGTGAACAAAGCGAGATAACCTTATCGCGTTATCATCGCGTGCTGGCGATTTGAATTTTTGCCAGAAGCTCGCGAGGAAGTGCTCATTGTCATAGATTATATCTTATCGTCGCACATTTCCCCTTTGTTTACGCATACGCATACGCATACATATTATATGTATGTGTGTATATAAATTTCTCATCTCGATATAATCTATGATATTTACGGCAGCGTACATTGTAGAATATTTGAAGTTACTCCGCGAGTTAATGGATCTTCATTTCATGTTATAAATTAAATTACAAAATAAACACAGGAAAGTCAATTAAAATGCAGTAAAGTGTGTTACGACGCACATAGGGTGTCTTTAGCAACTCTGTACTCTGTACTCGTTTTTCTTACTAAGCTTAATCCTGAAGGAATCAAATGGGTAACAGTGTATAAAATCGCTACACACATACACCCACACATCCTCAAGAGATGTGGAATTTATTAATCAAATCCGACGGAGACAGTGAGACAATTAAAAGAAGTCTCGTCCCTCGTGTTGCGGCCGTGAAATAATTATCGCGAGTCTTCGATTTCCAATCACACGCGACTTAAATAATTAATCGTACGATAAAATTCGCCGTCCGGGGAGAGAAGACAAGAATTTAATGTAAATTGAGCGAGAATACGTACCTGTCGAGGAAGAGCTTCATTTTATGTAGTGGGAATTATGCGTGTCACTCGCCACGTCAGAAAGTTATCTCGCATTAATTATGTTTCGGTGTGGCGCTATCTGAGTGCTTAGAACATAATAAAAATAACAATGGCGGGTTCTACGTGTTACCGGCGGAATTAAAGGTGCACAAAGGTGCCGCGCACAAAGGAGCTAGGAGCGGCCACTTTCGCGCCTCGGACGTTAATTAATCTCGATCGTGTCCTCGGGCCGCCGGGTTTATTTGCGACACCCAGTGTATAGCGCTATGAATTTCATCAGTTTGCCGTAGAGAGCTCCCCTTTATTACTTTAGAAAACTCAAGTTCCGCGTAATCCGGTTAACAGCAGCACCTCACAGTTAATCGTGTTCAACCGGTGACCTATTCTGCAGGATCCCGGCGATAAACGGATCATCCCGGGGATATTAAAGAAGGGGGTAATCCCCGTACGAAAAATGTTACAGCCCGATTCGCTCGGCTAAGCTACACTGAAAACTGTTTGTTTAGTAGTCATTCGATGGTCACTGTGACGTCCCTATCTCATGATATATCGATCGATTAAAGTCTTACGCGCGCGCACGTTGAAAACCATGTCGATACGATGCTTTGTTTATTGCACGTGAAATCAAAGTGCCTGGGTCGCCTGGGAAAGCTAACAATTTTCACTTTTTATAGGTGGAACAAAAAAATTGGCGCGATGAAAAGCAATTTAATTGGTTAGCTGTAATTGCTTGGAGCGTAACTTTACTCCATCGGTTCTCTTTCCATTGTATTAATTTGACGCAGAAATGAAAAAACCAAAAAAGAAGAGAAAATTGATCTTAACAATTCGATGCGCTACGTTCTCGCGTTGCGACAAATAAATAAAGTAGGGCGCGCACCGGCGTACTTTCCCAGCAAACACACAATGTAACGTGTGACATACCTGTTAGTCGTAATTTCCTATTCAGCAATATAACGCTTATGTAACGCACGTGTTACGTAAGAGTTACATTGTTGAGTAAGAAATTACATCTAATAGGTGCGTTACATGATATTGCGTTTGCTGGGTCGCAAAACTCCAGTCCAAAAACTCTCTTATAAATTTGTCGCGCATTCCACGCGAACCACCCTGTATGTTACCCTGCTATCAATTTATTTCCTACGGCATAGTAAACCCGCCCGTATCTAATCCATCTTATGACTATTGACAGAGCCCAAACTCCGTATATGTTCATACGTATATATATATTTATTAACAATCAATAAGGCTAACAACGTTACATTGTCCGCCATTGTTGTTGGCAACATCGGTCCCTATCGGTCACCGAAGTGACACGTCGAATACGGTACAAAAGTTCGCTCGAAATGGTAGCAAAAATACTCGCGGGATGGGCGGGGGAAATGGAGAGGGGGAGGGGAGTGTGAGAGGACGGAATGGAAAAACGTAGCTAATACTGCGAATCTTATTATAAATAATAAGTATTATACGTATATAAGTAGAAAAAAAGCACCGCTCGCTTCGCATGAAAATCATCGAGCTCTCCTCTCCGAGAGTGATGTGAGTAGCTGCGACTGTGTTTAATCAATCTAAATCTAGCTTTATGCTTACAAAAACTCCTCGCGCCTTCATCGACCTTCCCCGAAATCTCGTTAGGAGAGCGAATAAAGATTAAATTGATGATTCGCCAATTTTCGACGCTTCGTTAAGGACAGAAGCGATTCGGGAATAATCGTGGGCGCTAATGCGCGGTTAAGGAAAGAAAGGCTGCACGGATTTAACCGGGCGCGATATCCATCCGGAGGAAGATTGATGAAATCGATCATTAGTCTCTCTCTTATGTCCTCGACAACCAATGTTAATCTAACGATTAATTTAATGACAATTTAAGTATAAATATCGGCGCACATACCGTATAAAATCGTTATCGCCTATCGAACTCTCGGAAATGCTCTCTCGATACGTGTCGGTATAACCTGAGAATATTCGCGATGAGAAATGGAATAACAAACGGGGGACTTTTGCATGCGCTTTGGTCGTTGCGTTCGCGTGAAAGTAATTCGTGATAACTGCATGATAATGAAAAGCGTACACGTTGCCGTGCGACGACAGAGGCGGCTCGCGCGTTCGTTGTAAGTGCGAGAATCAATAAAGAAGGTCGCAGATGGGGTTTACATTTCCGCGAGCGACTCCCGGCTTATTAATTTCGCAGACGCTAAGAGAGCGCGATAATTCAATATATCATGATAAAAAGTGTGTGATCCGTAAAAATATATATTCCGCTTGAATTTATTTTAATCTTATTTCGCACGTTTGTACACAATTCATTTATTTCATTCTGCGGGAGATTTCATCCGTACCATCGTCAAAAGTAATCCGTCCGATTAATATATACGACTTCGATATTAATCGTGTTTTAACATTCGAGAGAGAGAGAGAGAGAGAGAGAGAATATATTCGCAATTCAGTTTTATTGATTACATTAAATTTTACTCGCCGAGACCACCTTCGGAGACTTTCTCCGAAATTTTTTGTTTTTAAGTATGTACAGAAATATCGTCGCAGAAGAATAAACCAAAAATCTCTAATGTCGCCGATTAATTATTCTCGTCTCCACTGTCCAAAGTTAATCCGTATAATCGTGGATCGACCGTGCAAATGAAACAAACGCGTACACTTTAGCTTTTTCCGAGTAAATTAAGAACGTTATGTACAGAAATCTATCTCTAATTATCAAATATAATCAGGATAAAGGGCGATAATGTGAACGTCATCCGGCTATCTGCTAAATGAGAGGAAGAGGGAGAGAAAGAGAAAGAAAGAAAGAGAGAGAGAGAGAGAGAGAGAGAGAGAGAGAAAGAGAGAGAGAAAGAGAGAGAAGGGAAGGAAAGAAAAGAAGGAGAGTAAAAACAATCGCGTCAGAACGTCACCGATCACTTCGTTCTCGTTCTCGTGTCTCGGCGCGCTGTCGTGGTCCCATTTGCATCTCCACGCGTAGGATTTGCGCATTCTTCGTGTTAATTTGCATACAGAAAGTCATCCCGGGAACACGTCGAACTCTCTGTGCGAGGCTGCGTTCTCCGCGTTCCCCGTAGTTGAAAGCTTCCTCCTCGCGCGTCAGTATCGCGCGATGACAGTGCGCACCACCGCCACGGGACGTTGATTAGCGACTTCAGTAATTTGAGATGGTGTTGGTGAAGGTGGCCCATGTTTCCTCGATGGGTGCCAACACGGTGATCACCACGAGGGCCACGACGAACGCCGCGACGACCACAAAGTACACAGCGAAAATGAACTTTCGCATGCCGGAGTGCTGTCGGATGGAAATACTCAATGAGATTTTGTTTGCGCACCGATATTTGTTTGTGCACCGGATTATTTTCCGGAGCGGGATGTACCGATTCTCTCTCTCTCTCTCTCTCTCTCTCTCTCTCCCTCTCGGCCCCGACGTACTTACGTGTATATATGCATGTATCAGCAGGAGTTTCCGATTTATTTTTAGTTGTTACCCTCGCAAACGCGCGCGCGCGAGCGAGCGAGCTTGTGTGTAACGCGATCTTTATTTATTTATGAATTCCTGCGAATTTTTCTGATGAATTTTGTGAATTTGCTCAGACCTTCAGAGGAAATGCCATCGGAAATTTCGAAAATATACGTAAAAAAACGCGCTACTGCAGTCGCTAATAAAATGTAAAACAAAATGCGGCGATAAAATAATGCAAGATTGAGATCTTTTCCTTCGATATAGACGAAAGCTTTCTTCTTCACTTCTGACGGATCACAACGAGGATATCGTGTTTATAAACCGTTTACGAAAACAGATTAGTATCGTCAACGGTGATGTTTTTCCTTTTCTTCATTTCTGTCAGTTTTATTAACTTTTCAGGGCGGACTGACGTGCGCGAGAAAATTGCCTGATCGCGTCATTCTTATCTTAGAAAATCTTACCGGGGCATCTCGCCTCGCATCAGGATGCACCATTGATCCGCGAGAATGCATGTCTTTCATCGGGAATGAATTCACTCTCTGACTGGCTTGTCTGTCGGATGCGCACCCGAGGAACTGCAACGCAAACCCGCGAAAACATCAGCGATCTTAATTCTAATTAGAAAGCCGGCTGCGCGCAGTGACACGACTGTTACTCAGCGCGGAAGATAATCCCGTTAAACACATCGCGATTATCCGATCTTTCGCCGAATTCCGCTTAGCGTTGAGAAAAATTTCCATTTTTCACGAAGAAAGTCCAGATTGGGAGATAATTTCGGGAAAATGCGGAAATTTGAATTTATTAATCGACTCGGCTCCGCGTTGTCGTCGCAAAATTCTGACGGTCGAGCGTTTGCATTAATAAATTGCTCGGTGAGATCCGCTCGTAATTTTTTTCCCATCGGACCGCCCGGCGAGATCGCCGGGGGTTTTTCACGTGCGGATTTAGCAAATAAAAATTCTTACCGTGAGAATGAGGTGAATCAGGACGTGGAACATCACGTATGCGGTAAGAATCCAGTCGACCCACTCCGGGAGCTTAGCCTTATTCAGTCGCACCGCGAAGAAAATCGCGATCACTAGAGAAAATACCCGAAAATTGTTTATTTCATGCGCCGCTATTTATTGCGCGCTGCATACAACTATTTTATCGTACGAGTCATTCTCTCGACAAAGTTAAAAATTGAAAAGGCGAGCAATAGAATTAAAAACGAATTTCTTCAATTTGTGACACGACCGAGATACGAATAAAAGTATATCGACATACATAAAAATTACTTTACGTTACTAAATTACTAAATTACATGGGATCAAGATTACATGGGATTAAGATAACTGAAAAGCTCCTTTCGTCCTTTTGTTACTGCAATTTCATCGTTATCAAGCGTAACCAAATGCGGTTTCACGGGAATGAAAATAAGAAAAGGGAGAGAATAATAGCGAGTGCAGCGCGGAAAGCTCTACGATATCGAACAATTCAACTCACGGCCGCAGATTTTCGCCACGTTACCGACGAACCAGTGAACCCAGTTGAAAAGAGCTCTTCGTGGTGCGCCAGGATGCGGTCTCATAGCCGCCATGAAGGGCTGAATGAAGCAGAGAATTGTAGTAGCCAGACCGACTGAGGCGTGTATCGTCGCGGAACTCCATGCGCCCAGTTCAACGAATATTATGACGAAGGCCGCGATCGTCATCGACCAGGTAAGCACCATGAAGAACCTGTGCCACTTGGGAGGAAAATCGATAGGATTTCATTACAGCGAAAGGAGCGCGGGAAAGGAGCCGATAGGGTCGCTTTCCTTTTTGCGCGGTTCGAACGTTAATGATGTGTACTTTGGGCGTCGAGGAATTAACGCGAGTTCCAGCATTTCGCTGACGATGTCGGCAGCCGAACAATGCCCGGGGAAATTCACGCCGTTATGACCATTCAGTCGCGCGGATAACGATACAGGATTCAGAGAATTGTAGTAATTAATAGGATAATTCTTACCAAACGAAGAGACCAAGTTAACTTCGTGCCACCGAATTATCGCGAGATTGATGGATGGCACAGTACCCGTATAGAAAATGTTTTGGAATCTATTTGGGTTCTATCCCGATTTCTCAAAATATGTCTGGGTTCTAACTGGGAAATCTATACAGATTTTAATTAGAAGTGTAATGTTTTAGAAATGCCATTCTAAATGGGGAACACAAACAGATTCTGTTTGGTCATTCCCAACGTTTTCTCAAAAATGTTTCTGGTTTTCATTTTACATTCTATGATAAGAATGAGATGTACAATATCTTAATATTTACACTTTACATATATATGCATACACACATATACTTGTAAAATGTAAATATTTAAAGCATAAATACTTGAAGCAATATTTTGTGAGAAGTTTTTATAAAATAAATGAGTATTTAAAATATATATTTTTTATTGTAAATATTAATATATAATAATTATCTCTTATATATACAACAATAATGCATATACATAACCGAATTAATAATATGATATATGTATATATTAATATACGTATATATATATATATATATATTAATTCGATTTTTAAAATAACTCAAATTGTTTGCGAGAGAAATAATTATGAAAAAATATTAATAGAAAGCTCTCAAGCTAAAAAAATAAAGAATATATATAAATATCTGACAAACTCATCTAATTTACACATGTAAGAATTAATCAAATTATCTTCAAATATAAAAATATATCCTATACATTGTATAAAACGAAAATGTATTATATTACGTCCGAATACGGAACAATTTAAGACAAAAAATATTTGTATTATCCCTATTGCATTAATAAAAAAAGATTGGAATTTACACGTTATTTCTGTTCCGATTCTAGATAGAGAAACCATTTTTGGGACAAGAATGGGATTTCTAATTGGTATCGTGATGGGATAACCTATTTTGGGACAAATTTGGGTATTCTAGTTGGAATCTAAACTGTATCTGGGAAAATCCTATACGGGTACAGAAATTTCTACACGAGTGTTTCTCACGACTGAAAAACGCAGAGATGCGAATGCGAATTAGTGATCGCGTCTTCATTTCGCGCTGTCCGTTTGATTGATACTCGCAATGAAGGCAGGTAGAAAATAACTGAGTAATCTCGAAATAGCGTACGGGATTGTCAAGTGCAATCTTTGCAATCCGTTATTGCGGACAAAGTGACACGTCGCGAGAAAGTCGCGCAAAGATTGAAATAACGCATCAAAGTAACATATCACGATTTGAACTAATTCAAGCCCTCTCTCTCTCTCTCTCTCTCTTGCGAGATGAGATCAAATGCTAGGAAAATATTAAAATATTAAAAAACGATTTTAGATCGAACAAGACGAGAAATCCGCTCGTTATCCGCTTGTAAGATTATTGTCATAATCAAGCGAACCCGCTAAGCTTCTTTCATGAGCAAAGGAATCACGCTGAACGGGCGTACAAATAACTCGGTCACGTTTGCACTTTCGTCGCGACCGAGATACATCGAGAAACGGAGCTGCGCAAATAGTTAAATCCGAAGGATCTTTCCGAAGGAAAACGTCGAGACGCCGCGCCGAGACGGCGCGGATGGAATGTCCGAGCGATTGTCCGGGAAATCGCGCGCTACTTACAGCGAACCAGTGGTCCTTGCCGCACAGTTGGGAATTGACCCACGTCTGTCTGTAATATCGCGCCAGCAGCATCCCGACGGAGGCTGTGCCGATCCACGAGGCCAACATGAGCGCGCCGTGAACGCGAATCAGTATGTCGCTGGCCGCGGTCCATTCCCCGACGTCGGACAGCTTCTTCGAGACGCTGGTCCCGAGGTAGTCGACGTTGTGGAAGGCAACTCCATTCGCTAAACGCCGAAAAGAACAAGCACACGTGGATGCGCGCTCGCTTGCACGCGAGTGCAGCTTTCGCACACGCGCGGCGGCAAAAAGGAGAAAGCGAGCCTCTCCGGAGCGCGATCGTCGTGACTTACGACGTTACGATTTTAACGCGATTTGAACGCGATAAGACGACAAGAATGCCGCGGGACGAGCGGATCGATGCGAATCCATATTTCATTCACGCCTCGCGTCCGCGTTTTAGCGATGTTGCGCGCGCGTAAGGAAGCTATCAAATTCGCAGTTATTTCATGCTGCCCGGCGAGAAAGTTGCCAAGTTTTTACGCACTTTGCTCTCTCGACGGGAGAGAAGCGTGCAAGAAGCAAACTTCTCGTTACTCTCCGCGCAAAGTTGCCAAGATTTCTTCTGTCTTTATCCGGAGAGAGAAGAAGAGCGCGACGAGACGTCGTCGGCGGCGGCGGCGGCGGCGAAACGACGCAGCGCTGTGAATCTGAACATCATCGGGACTGGCTGGGCGCCGTAAAATCCATTCTCGCGGCTTAGCGCGCGGCGATAATCTCGACTAAACGCGCGGAGAACGCCGCCGCGTCGGAATCGCCGCTAATTCCCGGCCTGTTGTGTACGTACGTCTGAGTTCCGCGCCAGCAGCCACGAGGAGGTGGTACGGGGTGTTGACGAGGTCATATGTGCGTCCGTGAACAGTAGTGAGCTTGTCCCGCCGGAACTTGCAGTAGATCACGCCGTCTCTGATCGCTTTGGACTCGAGCTGGACCGCGCCTTCCGGCTGTGGGCGAAGTGTCGCGAAACAAGACAAGATCAACGCTCGTCAGACTGGAGAGTCACTTCGTGAACAACGAAGCCGCGGAAGATGATTCGAAGACGAAAAGAGAAAGAAAACGTGAAACCAGCGCGTTCTATCTCTTCTATTTGTCCGACCTGACCCAACAAATTCGCGAGACGTCTCCTCGCGAAAATATCTCAATTTGCAACATCGGTTTGCAACATGTGTATCTCGACGAGTAACTCCGGAAAAACATTCTCCGAGCGTGAGAGTTTTCATTCGAAGATGCAGATCGCGTCGTTCGTGACGTTCGCTTCTGTTTGTCTGAAATTTTTCGCCGTTTGTTCGGAAATCTCACGGAGACACGAGCGTGTGTGAAATATTCGAGATCCAAAATTAACGCAACATTATGCCCGACAGGTGAAGACAGGCTGTAGAAATGTGACGATTTACTCCCGGATATGTTTTGTATACGGGATATTTTTACACGCACCCGTTATTTCCGCACAAGTCCCGCAGTTCCGCTACGGGCGCGCCGTATTTTTTTTCACGTTAACGCAATCGTCGCTGCCGCCACGAGCGATGCGGCAAAAAATTGCGAGTCAAATGCAATTTAACGAGGCGAGTTTGCTCGCCCCGCGACAGCGAGGTGCGAAAATATACTCGCCCCCCCCGTCCCCTCCCCCTTATTCGCCCACCGCACCTCCTCCTTATTCTTACTACGAACACTACGGTAATTATTTGTACAGTTCGAAGATTTACCGCACTACAGCGCGGCAGCGACACTGCCGGCTCCATGGTGAGCGTAATAATCGGGATTTAATGGGCCAGACTCGTTCCCGGCAGAGCGCAGAGCGAATTAATTAGCACAAAAGGCGCGCATCGCCGCGAAGGCGGTGCCGCACGGCACGGTAAACGATACTCACCGTCGCATGGCGCTTGTTACTCTTGCCGGAATTCCAAGACATGTGTAACGCAATTTCTCCATCCTCGTTGGCGCACTCGACTACGCTGTCGTCACCCTGCGCTCACACCACGTTTCGCAGCGTTATTATTATTATTATAACTTAACTCTCTTGCTCCATCATTAATCCCGTGAATTACTCGCTTAATTGATTGCGCAGAACAAACGTAACTTCGTTCGACGTTACCGTAATCGACGCGGCGGCGTTGATTGTTGAGATAAATATTACACGATCCGCGACGTTATGTAAACCAATCTACGCGATAAAGAATGCGTCGCGCGCGCGCACACGATTGCATTTGTCTAATGATTACATTTTAATCTGCAATCCCCGCAGAGTAATTGGAAAGCCGCGACACGGGTCACCGCCGCCGAATTCATGCGGCGGCACGCGCTTATATCGCGCATACTTTATTCTCCCCTTCGCGTAACAAACACACACCCGCCTTGGACATATTTAACGTTTAGATCGAACAGAGACGATCGTTTTACGCGCTGTTGACTCGAATCAGACGCGGCCGAATCGCGAGGAAACGATCCGATTGAACGACGGAACGTCGAGAGAGAGTGACGACCTCGGGGGGAAATAGGCGGGAGGAATACCTCCGAGAGGGAGGTCGAGGAGGAAAAGGGATTCTTCATTTCTCAAGCATCTCTCGCGATCATCTCGCGGAACGCGAACACCTCACGCGCCTGCAAAGACTCGCGGAGCCACCCCGCCGAAAACTAGGACGGGATAATAGAGATTCCGAAGGAAATCTAGCGCGGAAAATATGTCCGCGACGATTGTTCAAGTTTCCGCTTGAACAATCGCGCGTGCGGCGGTCCCGAGCAAAAAAGCCGGGCGGTGTACTTAAGCGCGTTTGAGCAACCCGACAATTACCATATTCTTGTCGTCCGACAGGCCGACGGCGACATATCTCGCTTTCGGCGTAGTCCCGCGTCCCTGCAGCTCGAACAGATATTGGTCGCCTTGCACGGTCACAGCCACCGCGGCGTCGCAGTCCTTGCTCTTGATGCAGCCGGCGGGCGCGCCGAAGCAATTCTTCGTAACGTGGCAGCCGGCGTAGAACGGATCCTCCTCGACCTTCGTCTGCAACAACGAGAGCGCACATCTGGAGGATGACGCGGGGATTCGCGCCGGCGGCGGCCGTTGTCCTGCCGCGCGTACATGATCGCGCGCAACATCCTTCCGCGTCCCGATCGGAATCGAATGACGGCGGCAGATGGAAGCCAGCCTTCGGTCACCGGAATTCGCTCACTTTCCAGATAGCGCAACACCTGCTGGGATCACCTTGCATGCACTCAGGAGGCATGCAAGGACATGTTTCGGCTGATTCCGGCTGGTCTCGTGCAATCTGGATCATCGTCGCGGAGGTCGTACGTAGAAATGATCGAGTCGGCGATTAACCCTTTACAGCCTGAATCAATTTACCTAGGTCCTTATTAAATTTTTGTGTAATTAAGTAGCTTTATAGTATATTAAGAATATAGGGAATAGGAAAATAAATTTTATAACAATTTAGATCAAATTAATTAAATTGATTAAATGAATTAAATTACTTAACTAAATTTTAAGTCGGTACTTGTAAGCACCGTGGAACGTGGAGCAAGACATAGAAAAAAATATAAAAATATGTGAGCGCTTATATACAGCGGTATTTTGAAGTACCATCAGGATGTAAAGGACTAAAGAGATCGCTTGCGCAGCTTGGAACAATGTTGCTCTTGCTGCAAGGCAAGTCTCTCAATTTAAAACGCCAATCATTTAAAACATTCGATGTCTTTGATTGATAAACGATGTCTCCGGCAAGTAAACGTTATCTTCGATTGACGGTGTTTCATCGCAATTGCAAAGAAAGAGAGGGAGGGAGAGAATTCAAGATACGTCGGTGAGAAAGCACGAGACAAAGGAAGACTTTGTCGAGCGAATCACCCGTGACAATTCGCGAGCTCGCTCGCTCGTTCGCAACTCGAACGAAAAGGAAATCCGCGGCGAGGGAGAAAGAGAAGTTTGACGACCAGCCTTCAACTTAGATACGCTCGGCGGGATCGCGCGTTCACGCTCCGGCGGTCGCGTTCGCCATTACCGCTCTTTGGTGTACTTTTACGCTTTTTTATCGCGATCGAACGATCCAGCGGCGTTTTCAAGGAAAGGCCACTCGCCCGCACTCGGCGAGATGTAATTATTCGCGGGTAACCGTCGTGCGAAATTGTTGGCCACTCGCGCGAAAGTTTCGGAACTCTCGGCACTCTCGCGGAGGACTCGGCGGCGATTTACAGGTTTACTTGCGTGCGAAACGACAGCGTGCGAACTGCGAAGCCGTTCGTGGGTAGCGCTGCTTATCGATCAGCTTGTTTACAAAGGTCTGCAAGATGCAAATGAAACCTATGCATTTGTAATTCGCGATCTATATACAAATGCGGAAAGTTTCGTGTGTAAGTTGCGGTTTATTATTGCCGGAGACTGGAGCCGCGTTTCTGTCCCCAGTCCCTGATTACTCCGGCAGATTTAAATCAAATATTATTTAAATATAAAAAACGCGGATACACGCGGGAATTGATGGCCGGCAGTTGCGCGAATACTTGCCTCGGCGAGCGAGCGACGGTCGGCACGAAGCTCGCGCAATAAAGATGAAACTCGTGCAGCGGCTAACAATGCGCGCCGTAAAAAATCCGCGACACGAAATCGAACGATCGCGGAAGTGAACGGTGAAAGTACATAAAGCATAAATTCCAGAACGCTGCTTGCGGTCGCGCGCGTGTTATGTCCATGTGCTCGCGCGTGTACACATATAAATGCATAATTCATGCACGCGTCACGCGCCGATATATTCGCCTCTCCGGCGTATCGCGAGTTTTCCTCTTTTCCTTTACTTTCTACAGAGGGCGCGCGCGCGCGCGCACCTGCGTTACACAGAGCGAAGTATACAAAACATTTTTTCCTCTCGCGTATCAATTGAACCACTCGGCTGACTCTCGATTTTCGAACGAGGAGGACTCGCAAGAACGCGGGCGCACGAGAATTCGGAGACACCTCGTTTTATTGGGTTGTTCGGAAAGTTTCGGTTTTTTGCACGAAACTGAAAGACGATATTTTTAGTAGAAAGAAAAATTTTATTCCGTTAAGTACCATCTTGTTCTAACAGCTTTTGCCATCTTTGAGATAATAACATGATTCCACGCTCGTAGAACTTCTGGTCCTTATTGGCAAAAAACTGAATTAAGCGGTTTTTCACATCTTCATTCGAATCGAAAGTTTTACCATCCAAAGAATTGTGCAGTGACCGAAACAAGTGACAATCGGATGGCGAATATGGTGGATGCGGTAGCAAATCCCATCCAAACGCTAACAGTTTTTGGCGAGTCATTAAACTTGTGTGAGGTCTGGCGTTGCTATGATGAAACACAACACCTTTTCTGTCCGCCAATTCTGGTCTCTTCAGCTTGATGGAATCATTCAATTTGTCCAATCGATGACAATATATATTCGAATCGTTTGGTAGTTATTTGATAGCAGTCCAAAAAAAGCTATTCCTTTCCAAACGGAGAACATCACCTTTTCTTGATGGATATCAATGTACTTTGAGCTGATTCATCTGCTCCATGATCTTTTCTTTCGTTTAATATTGTTGTACGCAATTCATTTTTCGTCTCCAGTTATGAGTCGTTTCAGAAATGAGTCGTTTTCCTCACGTTTCAACAGCAAATCGTAGATGGTAGTGCGACGAATCAAATCTCTTTCTTTGAGAACCCAACCGTGTGGAACCCAAATATTGAGCTTTGAAACGAAACCAAGTTGTTTCAAATGCTCATGCACAATTCGGTCGAATTCAATCTCAATCTTAGCAATTTCTCGTGTTGCTAAATGACGATTTGCATCCATCGATGCCTTTATTTGATCTTCATCAGCATCACAACTGGCCTTCCAGAACGTGGTGCATCTTTGAGGTCGAAATGCCCAGAACGAAATTTCGAAAACCAATTCTGACACTGGCGTTCAGTCAACACATCCTCTCCATACACGATACACAATTTTTTTCTTGCTTGTGCTGCATTTTTTCCCTTACGGCAATAAAAAAGCAAAATGTGACGAAAATACTCACGTTGGTTTTCCATCTTTTATGCGACACCAAATAAAAACAACAAATTGACGAATTCCGAAACAACTCTTTTTCAAATGAAGCTCGAAATGTGCGTTGTAAAAATGTAAAATGATTTTCTGATTTAGGATGAGATTAAAAAGCAACTAACACCATCATCATTTGATGAAAAACCCGAAATTACTTTCCCAACAACCTAATAATTGTATCGTGCGACGATGGAGCTTCGTTCGCGTTTAACTTTTCGATCGGTCAGAAGATCCGCTTCGGATTCGCGCGTTTGTGCGACAATGTTTCATCTTTATAAATTGTCGCTGACGGGGAATGAAACATTAATTGACCCGTGGACTGATCGATCCTGCAAGATACGATCTTGATGTGTGTGTGTGCTTGTGTAAAATATATTCGCACGTGCTCCTGCAGGCGCTAGCAAAACAGAATACGATGAAGAAAGGTCTCATTGTGGGTTGAGCACACAAACGTAGTTTTCGTGAAACAGGACATTCCGCCGCGGACCGTCCGCGGTGGCGCCTCGCGTTTTATGGCGCGCCGTATTTTGCTACTCACTCGTGCCACATCATAATTGATATTTATCGGGTGTAGGCACTTAATGAGGATATAGGCAGATTTTAATTAAACTTGAATTACGCGGGCAACTGCGAAACTGGAGATTTATTAGACCGCACTATTTTAATTTTCATTCAATAACAACAATGAGTGTAATCCTTTATTTAACTCGCGAGTAGTTGGCCGACGGTTTTCATTAATTAAAGTATCGCCGCAACAACATTCGAATGAGAATTGAAATGCATTTTAATATCGCTATCGATTTTAATCCGCGCGCGCCCAAAGTGCGGCGGTGCAATTAATTGAAAGGGCAAGCTATTATCTTGCAGAAAAAGTTTGATAGCTTATATCGTATGATGTATACACATATCGTATGTGTGTGTATGTGTGTGTGTGTGTGTGTGTGCACACGAGGAGACTAGGGTGGAGATTTCCTACACGTAACACGATCCATCACTGATAAAAAGTTAGCTTCGCCCTCGTTAAAGGATCCGTCCGAGAGCCTTCCGCGGCGTAAAGATACGGGATATCTCGTGTGTACGAGGCCGCCGCTGCGCTACGAACTAATCAAATTCCGCTAGGACGGACTTTTCAACAAATCTGACGTGTCCTTTGTACAGGATATAATCAACGAGCGCCCTTTGTGGCCAAGTCCGCGGCAGCTCGTGCGTCCCACCAAATCCGCGATATTCGCCGCGAGAACCACCGCGCTTCTCCCGGAACTTACGGGCTTCGCTCACATCGTCTGACGCGCTGCAGCAGCACCGCGCCCGTGTTTGTACCGCCGTGAAAACGGCCGACGGCGAACACTTACCGCATAATCGACGGTCTGGCTGTAGTACGGCGGCGTGGTGGTCCTGTAAGTGGTGATGGGCGTAGGTGAGGCCAATACGTCAATAGATCGCTTGAGAACGGTGACTCGGGGCGACTCCACGCCGACCCAGTACGTGCTGTAATCCTGAGCGAAGGTGGAGCTGCGAAAGGAACAATCGCCGGGGTCAAAAGAGCCGGTGGTGCCCCCCCGCGTTGCACGAAATTTGCACGTTCGAAGGATAAGACAATACCCCCGTATTCGGGGCACGGCGCGCAGAGAGGGGGGAGGGGGGAAAGGGTGCAGCACCGGATGACTGTATTAAACATACATTAGCAATTCCGTATTGACTCTTACGAGGAAAGCTTCATAAGGAATGTCTCGCGCGTTTCTCGCGCACCGTTATATCCGCGCGAGCGCGCGCGCGGTCGTCTCGAATTCCAAATATGAGCCGCAAACCGCGCGTACAGTAAATACCTAATTGTGATTCATAAGTGTGACACATCGTGCCGCGGTGTGTCTGTGTTTTGTATGCGCATGCATGTGTATGTGTGTGTGTGTGTGTGTGTGTGACTTCGGCGCGTACAAGAGAGTGAGTGAGTGTGCGTGACCTGAGTCGCGCTAGGCGGCGGCTAAGATCAGTCGCGGGAACCGTGACTCAACAATTAAGCCGTTTCTAGTCTCGCTGACATTTCTTGTTTCGGCATTTTACAGGTGTTCCGAAACTTCGCGGGCGCGCGCGCGCACGCGCGATCTCAGCGCGAGAGCGGCTCGAGGGAATAACAAGCAGACTACTCTCGTGCACGGCAAGAAATATCTAAATGCGCGACGGAGATTATTAATTAATTCGCTCGAGTGTGACGCGGCCGGGATCGATCGAGTCCGGATCGAGCGAATATATTTCCGCAATTCGCGACGTCAATTTTATGCAGGAAATTAGCAAGTGGACCGCTCGACCGCGGCGCACCGACCGAAACGCAAAATATCGGCCCAAATCCCAAAGTTCTCATCGGCGAGCTCGGCTTTTTACATAAGAGGATGACAGCGGAGCGCGAGAATCCCGCCGCCGCCGTGCGATAGAATTCACTCACGCGCTGCGATCATCACGCCGCTAAAGCGCGTGATTCTCTCATGAGGAGTCATCGCTCATTGTTACATGACGTTACTTACTTGAAGATAATGGTACCCTCGTAATCGACCGGAGCCTCCCAATCAAACTCAAGATTCTGCTTCTTGCTGGTGTTCACGTGAGTCACGGCGTTCTAGGCACAAGAAGCAGGAAACATTGCTTTGGATAAGAAATTGCGCGCGTCGGCGGATTGCTTGCGAAAGACACTGAATAAACGACACTCGCGACCTCGCGGAGCGACACGGAAACGTCAGGGCTGCAGGAAATCGTTCCTCGCGTAAAAACGGAGCAACTTGGCGCATCGTACGTCATCGATCGAGCGCGATCGACGTCGTGATTCGCGATTAACGACAAAAATTCCGCGGCGCGGCTGATCGATACGTCGAGAGAGCGGGCGGCGATCCCATTTCCCGGCCAGAGAACTTGGGAAAATTCATCTGAAACTTGAGAGCGTTTTAACCCGGTCGGACGGGCAAAGGCTCGAAATTCTTAAGAGACCGAGTTAAACCACCTTTTCACCGGAGAACTATCCGCTTCCTCGCGCACGCGCGCGCGCGCGCAGACACCGTGGATCTTTTTATTTCGCGAACGCGAAACCTTAGAAACGTTACTCCGCGGAACCTAATCACGTTTTAAAGACGAGAGCGTGGCCGGCGCACAGTGGGGCAAAACTGACATTTTTTGTTCAAAATGGTCCAGAGACCTTAAAATTTAACGAAATGAAACAAATTTTTTTTAAATTACTCGTTGAGAGATAACGAAGAAGACTGTCTGAGCCGATTTTTGAAAAAATTCAACCCTAAGGACCTACAACCCTGTAATCCCATTAGAAAAATACACAACCCAATAACGAAAAACCACAACACATAAATCGGTAACTTTAACTCTAAAACCCTTTCGCCAATAGCTCAATCATACCAAAACAACTAAAATATACAACATAACAACCCCATAACCCAAAGACTTATAACGGACTATTACAAAATCAATTACTACAAGTGATAATAAAATCATCAAAACTCAATAACACCATAAACAATAACTCCATGACTCCATATAATCAAAATGAAAACTATAATAACTAACTATAGTAATTTTGCTCATAGTCTGGTACAAACCGAATTAGCTACACTTTTCAGATGAAAAAGTGTATTCAGGATGTGCCACGAGGAGGCTTCAAGTTCGATTTTACCGAATCTTAAGTTATTGCAACAATAAATTCATATGTATTATGAATATATTGTTGTACATTCTAAACACAGTATGTAAAAACTCGGTTATTAAGTTATGAGATTATTGGGTAACAAAATAACTATTCTGTATGGTTATTGCAATTTATTAAGACATGATATTACGAGGTTGTTGGATTATAGGGATATTGAATTATGGGATTATTGCGAAATACGGTTGTCCAATTATGGTTTGGGTTCTGAGGTTATTGAAGTGTGAGGTTGTGTGGATTATGGGGATATTGTTTATAGTGTTATTGAGTTGTGATTTTATTGTCACTTGTAATAATTGATTTGTAGTTATTCCGTTATAAGTCTTTGGGTTATTAGATTATGGAGTTATGGGGTTGTTGTGTTGTGTGTTTTAGTAGTTTTGGTGTGACTGAGCTAATGGCTGAAGGGATTTTAGAGTTAAAGTTACCGATTTATGCCGATTGTGGTTTTTCGTTATTAAGTTGTGTATTTTTCTAGTGGGATTATAGGGTTGTAGATCTTTAGGGTTGAATTTTTTCTAAAATCGGCTCAGACAGTCTTTTTCGTTATCTTTCAACGAGTAATTTAAAAGAAATTTGTTTCATTTCGTTAAGTTTTGAGGTCTCTAGACCATTTTGAACAAAAAATGTCAGTTTTGCCCTACTGTGCGGCCGGCTCGGACGGGAGCATAAATGGCGGAGTTTAAAGCGCGAGAGATCGACCTACCGGTACGCCCTGCGTGCACTCGACGATTCTCGCGGAATCGGGCAGGTTCGTGAATTCGCCTACGAAATCACCGGTGTCGATGTCCCTGGCGAATATCATAAAGCCCTCGTATGCGAGGCCCTGGGGGCTGCCGAGGATCAGTCGGATCCTGCCTTGTCCGGCCGCGGGGAGCACCTGATAAGGTGGGGACGACGACTGGGGATCGATGCCGGAGTGCCGTGGAGTCAGATCCAAGCATGTCCTCGACGGTGCTCCGTCCGGTAACCCAAGCACCTTCGCGAGTACGCCGATAGTCAGGAACAGCAGCGTCCTCGACATTTCTGCAACGGAAAAGGCGCGCCAAGACGCTCGTTAAACAAATACAAACGCTGCGCGTACACGGTACATTGTTGACGCTCACATATTGTCCCGGCTTCCAGTATTCTCTCCTGCTCGAAGCAAATTTCTCGGACAATATCTAAAAGCCATCCGTTCTCGTCGAGAACGTCAAAACAATCTTGATCAGTGAGAGCAATTAATTAATGCTCGACTGTATGACGCTTCCCGATCTATCTCGCGTTTTTTAATCAGATCTAATTGCGAAGTAGCGACAGACGGAGAAGTTTCAATAAATAATGACCCTCCTCGACGTTCTCAGTATTCGCGGGGATTGCCTTCAAAATTCGGTCAGCTCGGCACTAAAATAACGTTTCATCGGGAAGTGTGTCGTTTTATACACGTCCATGTTAATTTTATTATATCGCAACAAGATGAATATTATATTGTTCGCTCGTCTGTGTATTTGCGATCTGATAATTAAACTTATCAGTACTTTCCGGTCTTATTTGAATTATGCATTAATATATAGCGCGAGTTATTACTCTACACTGCCGTGCAATATTCGCGTCGTGTAATTCCCCACGTTTCCGGGATTCGGTCGTTTGAGCCGCGCTCTTGGCGGCGGATTTGCAATTAGCCTTATTGCACACATCGTCACGACGGCATGCGCGACAGTGAATTACCGCGATATCAATTGTGAGCCCGTCCGCCGCACGATAATCACAGACGACCGGGAAATATTTAAACAAGAGCCGGCACACTTGTTTCAACGCGAGCGCCGACATCAAGGCAGCTACTCGATCGGCCGTTCGCATGGCGCTTTATTTGGCCAAATTTATCCGGTATGACACTAAAAAGGAACATCCGCGAAGTGTGCGTCTCCGATTTCGGAGACGAAACTTCGCACATTTGTAGAGTAGCCAAAAATAAAGACCCATATCTTTTTTATCGGCAACGACTCAGGTTTAAGAGGTGAAACTGCCCCTCAAAGTTACATACTTTTTATGCTACCTCGATAATCACATTGCAGATAGGAAAAAACTTTCTAAACAAAAATTATACAGTTTTTTATGCTGTTTTTCCTATCTGCTATAATTATCGAGATAGCATAAAAAGGTTAAAACTTTGAGGAGCAGTTTCACCTCTTAAACCTGAGCCGATAAAAAAATATGGGTCTTTTATTTTTGGCTACTCTACAAATGTGTCAAGTTTCGGTCGAAATCGGAAGCACACACTTCACGGATGTTCCTTGTAAGAGACAGCAAGTGCGGCGAACGTGTTCGCGTCTTACCAGCAACAGTCGCGCGCGACCTTGTAACAATGCCATATAAATTTCCACTTCAACACGCTCGCGCATTTACACGAGCGTATAATTGGACGGTCATACATGCGGCACTTGATGCAAAAACGATGAATCCTCTATTGATCTTTATTTATGAACGATCGTGTAATTTTATACAGCGAATCCTCCCAGCGAGGAATCGACGGTAAGGATATCGAAATGGTTGTTCTTACATACGCATTATTCTTCGCATCGTCCATATTCCCGCGATACCGGCACAGAATTCCAGAATTCTCGTTGATATTTGTTATTTCTGCGACGCACACTATTAAGGTATCGGTACCACGCGTGCTGTAAGCTGAATCATACACTTTTTGTGTGCACAATGATGAAAAACGCTGCACGCTGTACCTATATTACTTCATCAGCGTGTCCGCCTTTAATGAGCGAATAATCCGCCTTGGCTGATGCGTGATCGTCCTTAAGGTTAACAATTAGCGATAAAGCCACCCGATGACATAATCGCGTCAACGTGGCATAAGGAAACGTTATTGCGCAAACACAAATAGCCCAAGCAGCCACGCTTGAGCAGAAACTACCTCGTGTTCTCTATCATTCGTAAAAGAACACAAATTTCACAGCGGTCCCTCCTATCCTCCACCGAGAGAAAAGTTTCACCCAAAGTCGAAAGCCTGCTCTCCCCTCTCCCCCTGCCCTCTCGCCACCCGCGGTGCATAATTGATCGCGACGGTAACCAGTCGCGGATAAATTGCTGCTAAATAGTCCCTTCATTATACACTGTATATTAGAACGCCGGCTTAATTGTTCGGTCATGCGGAGCGACGGATTGGATCGGCCTGCAACGAGAGCCGCACTATCCACTGGACGTTAATGAGCGGCCGAGCGCGCAAGGAGTGAATGACTCCGCGAAGGCGAGAGCGCGCGGGCGCGCTCAGCTCGTGCTCGACGCGCGGCGTGGCCCACGCTTGAAAGAGCTGACTTTCACCTATTGAGAGCTTAAGTCCCGCGGGTTTCTTAGCTCGCGCATTCCATTCGACGCCCCGGCCCTCGGCTACCGAAGTCTTTCCTCATGTTCACGGCGTTACGTAACTCCGCGCCTCCGACCCGGGACTGACCCTCGCCATTGAAATGCCACGGCGGCCAGTCGTCGCGAGAACGTTTTTCTCATTCTCGCAAGCAGGCGCGTTCTCGCCCGAGACCGGAAAATCGCCGGAAAAACGGCAAATCCGTGACTGCGCCTTATCTCTCTCTCTCTCTCCCCCCTCTCTCTCTCTCTCTCTCTCTCTCTCTCTCTCCCTCTCCCTCTCTCTCTCTCTCTTCGCGTATCGCGGACAGCGCGTCTTGCGATTTTTCGCGAAGACGTCGGCAAGGACGGTCCGCGGCCTGAAAATATAACGCGCGTTATTGACATGAATATTCGTGTCAATAACGCCTCGTGTTTTCCGCGGCATCGTGTCATACCAGGAAACCAGGAACAGCAACGGCGGCGGCGGCGGCGGCGGCGGCGGCTGGCTGAGTCAGCAATAAAACGTGCAGTTTTTCTCGCCGCTTCCGCGAATTCCCATAACTGCGAGATCGTCGGGGCACATTATTCCAGGACAAGATTGATTACTCAGACGATGATCGTTAACCGCATCTCTACACCTCTGACGCGTGCGAGCGACGGCACACGCGCTCGGAATTCCGCCGGGCGCGATTAGCGCGAACGAGACGCGTAATCGCGCGCGCGCAAGTTTCTCGTGAAAAAAGCTGAGGTGATTGTCTTGACGTCGGACACGAGAGACGTCGTCGCCGGCGCATAGTGGGACAAAACTGATATTTTTTGTTCAAAATGGTCTAGACCTCAAAACTTAACAAATGCAACAAATTTTTTTTAAATTACTCATTGAAAGATAACGAAGAAGATTGTCTGAGCCGATTTTTGAAAAAATTCAACCCTAAGGACCTGCAACCCTATAATCCCATTAGAAAAATACACAACCCACACTAGGAAAAATGTATTGTTGCGTGAACCAAAATTTTGTTGCAACAACAAAATAATTTGGTTAAAATATGCCCAACAAAACTGTTTAGTTCCTGTAAACAAATATCTTGTTTGATTACGGTTTGTTCGTATAACGTAATACTTTTGTTATAGCAACCAAAAAGCTTTAACTATATGAATTTTGTTAAAAATACTATAATTTTTCTTTAATATATAAAATCTAAATTTTAGTGCACGGAGAGACAAAATAGTATCCATTGGGCATTATTTTAGTTTATGTAAAATAATATTTCGTTATTATGTAATTTTTATGAATAAAATAACTAAAATGCTTAGTTTTTACATATGAAGTCTCAGAACAAAATCATTTAGTCCAGAAAACAAAGCAGAAAAATATATTTAGTCGAGACAACTAAATAGTATGTTATATAAAACAAGATATTTGGTTGTTATTAAAAAATGCCTCAACTAAACAGTTTTGTTAGAGATACTAAATTTTTTTTCCTAGTGCAGTAACGGAAAACCACAACACATAAATCGGTAACTTTAACTCTAAAACCTCTTCACCCAATAGCTCAGTGACACCAAAACTACTAAAACACACAACATAACAACTCCATAACCGCATAACCCAAAGACTTATAACGGAATAATTACAAAATCAATTACCACGAGTGATAATAAAATCATCAAAACTCAATAACACCATAAACAATAACTCCATGACTCCATATAATTAAAATGAAAACTATAGTAACGTTGTTCATAGTCTAGTACAAACCAAATTAGCTACACTTTTCAGATGAAAAAGTATATTCAGGATGTGCCACGAGGAGGCTTCAAGTTCGATTTTACTGAATCTTAAGTTATTACAACAATAAATTCATATGTATTATGAATATATTGTTGTACATTCTAAATATAGAATGTAAAAACTTGATTATTAAGTTATGGGATTATTGGGTAACAAAATAACTATTCTATATGGTTATTGCAATTTATTAAGACATGATATTACGAGGTTGTTGGATTATAGGGATATTGAATTATGGGTTATTGCGATATATGGTTGTCCAGTTATGGTTTGGGTTCTGAAGTTATTGAAGTGTGAGGTTGTGTGGATTATGGGGATATTGTTTATAGTGTTATTGAGTTGTGTGATTTTATTGTCACTTGTAATAATTGATTTGTAGTTATTCCGTTATAAGTCTTTGGGTTATTAGATTATGGAGTTATGGGGTTGTTATGTTGTGTGTTTTTAGTAGTTTTGGTGTGACTGAGCTATTGGGTGAAGGGGTTTTAGAATTAAAGTTACCGATTTATGTGTTGTGGTTTTTCGTTATTGGATTGTGTATTTTTCTAATGGGATTATGGGTTTGTAGGTTTTTAGGGTTGAATTTTTTCGAAAATCGGCTCGGACAGTCTTCTTCGTTATCTTTCAGCGAGTAATTTAAAAAAAAATGTCGATTCGTTTCGTAAGGTTTTGAGGTCTCTAGACCATTTTGAACAAAAAATGTCAGTTTTACCCCACTGTGCGGCGGTTGCATCGCCGAGAGGGGAGTCGGCGGAAGGCGACTTTTCAACGTCGATTTACACCGACGCGCAGTAAGCGGCGAGAATCGGCAATGGAGATTGGAGAATTGTGGCTAATCAGCGTGCCAGCGTAGTTTCGCAATAACGCAACACACAGTCGGCGCTATCGTTAAAATGAACTCGTCGTTGCGCACAGCGCAATAACCGCCGCCGTCGCCGAGCGGGCTTCTTCTGTCCGATTGAAATATGCAGGCTGCAATTTAAACGGTGGACAAACGCGCGCCATTACGCGATAATATATTACGGTTAACGCAGGAAAACAAGTTGCAGTTGTATGGAGGGAAGCACGGCGGGGGGGGGGGGGACGTCGTAGAATCTCCCCCTCATCCTTTTTCTCTCCTTACAGAAAACAGATACAGGGAGATGCAGCGAAATGAAAAATAACCCGCGTGCGCGTTACATACGCGGTTTGTTTTTAATCCCCCGCCATATTTATATGCCGTTTCTCGCGGGACAAACGGCGCGCGGACGTAATAACCGATAATTGCGAAAGGCATTTACAAAGAATACAATTATCCGTCGACAATGCGGCAATCATGGGCGAGTTACGGCGAGAGTCCGTCCACGCTGTACAAGATCAATATTGCAGATGCACTCGAAATTTCTCTCGGACGGAGAGAACCTGCAATTTGCAAACCGCTGCGGCTGCCACGTACACACGCGCATCGCGTGTGAATCCATCGGCGAGGTGCGCACACACACACACACACACACACACACACACACACACACACACACACACACACACACACACACACACACACACACACACACACACACACACATATTCACATACAGAACACCCGCAACTCCGGTTAGACGCGCGCGCGCGCGCGCGTGCTCACCGAGAAACCGGGACGATCGTTTTTCTGACCGTAGAAGAAGTGACGACGACGACGACAACGACGACGAGTGCGCGACGGAGGGAGAATCTAGCGGGCGTGCGCGACAGATCGGCTGGGGAATTAAGTCCGTGATAATCACGTGCGTGCCTAGCATTATCATATATCATTATTCCATTGTGTGGGGAGAAACGGGCACAAGGCTTTGTTTTGCGGCTTGTAGCGCGAGTGCGTGCGCACGTGTGTGATTCACCGCGTGGCACCTCGCACGGACGCGCACGCACAACGGGGCTTGCGCGGGGGGGGGATGCTGTTAGTTAGCGACGTAAACGCTAGGAAAACTATCCGTGGAGCCAATAGCGCGATAGCGATAACTATCGCGTGCTCCATGAGCAGCGTAACGTTAGTTAGTATCATAGTGTCGTTTCCGCAATTTCGACGTCTCTTGCAGTTTTCACCATCTGAACATTTATCTCCGCCAAAGAATTGTCCACTGCCTACACAAACAATGGTAAAATGAACAATGTTAAAATAATAAGTAACGGTAAGATAATAAGTACGATGTGCCATTTGACAATTACGTGCGGTTTTCAGCATCTTGAGCGCTCACGAAGCTCACGAACGCTAACGCTTTCGTTAGTGAGAGCGTTACGCTTGTTAGCGTTATTGTCTGGCAGTTTGCAGCATAGAATAGCGTCTACCCGAACATACATAACGTCACCGCCGCCGATGTTTCGCCGCGTCCGCAAGTGACCGCACTTTTCCTCCTGCGCGGTCCTTTGTGAGCGCGCCGGGCCCGATGGTTATTTATCGCGTATACACCCCTCCCCCTTCCTCCCCCCCTCCCCGCGGCAAAGGGGATTAATCGGCGTCGTACGGATTGCTCGCGTCGTTAATTAATTGCGTCATTATGTCGTTCTCGTTATCAGGCGTCCGCGCGTACGTTAATCCCGCGGAGAACACCGCGACGCGATTCGCGCCGGAATCTCTCTGGAAAGCGCTATATATAGGTTTCTCGTTAACTGAACTAACTTGAGCGCGCTGTTCCTCCGAAACGACCGCGCGTGTTTTTCCAAGATTTTGGCGGAAAAACTTCCGGATGGCACTCGAACGTCTAAGTGCTGTAAATATCACGCCAAAAGTATTCTGGTAATATTACTCGCGCTGATTTTCGCAGACTTGTCTGCGCGATTATATGTTTGTACATTAATGAATGAACATTTACCCTAATTCAAAATCTAAACCTAAATCTTTCGATTTAAAACATTTACGCAAAAAAATTAAGTGACCAGGGCACTGGATAAGCGAAGGTATCGTGACATTGGCTTATTGGCAAAAGTAGTGCTATATTAATTTTAATTTTTTTAATTTACTAATGATATACAGGTCTGAACCCTTTGACGTACAATAATTGAGACAACGGTATAACGAATAAGAAGATTCTCATACGATAAAAAGAGAAAAAAAGGAGAGAAACTTTCTTTTTTATCTTCCCTCCCAATATAATAATAATAATACCATTTAAACATTGCATATTAAACTTCCATGCCGGTGGAAAAATTCATTGAAGGCCATTCATTTGAGATCATTCGAAGAGTTTTCACAAAAATCCATGACAATGGAGCGGGATTTTCGGAAGTTCACCCGACTGAAGAAATGCCGAGACGACGCTTCTCGCTCCTTGTCTTCTCCCAAGATTCCAATCTTCTCCAGCAAAGTCCAGATGAAAGTAGAACGGAAGAGTGGTGACACGCGATCGAAGGATCGCCGGAGAGTGTCGCGAGGAGATATGAGATGTTAATAACTAATTCATTATCACCTTGGCAGTAGTCACACTCACGCAGTAGTCGCGGTCGCGAGGCGTGGCACTTGCAGGTCAATGACGAATCGTTGATTACTCCCGCTAATCGATCAGTCACGCCGGGCGTATCGGTCTTCCCATGTCGCGATTCGACGCGGATGTTTCGCCGCCGGTAGAAAGTTGCGCCGCGCGGTAATTTCCTTACTATCACTCTCAGCGTGTATCCCTCTCTCTCTCTCTCTCTCTCTCTCTCTCTCTCTCTCTCTCTGGCTTGACGCGAACGCGTCTAGCGTTCGCGCGTCACGTTGGCTTTCGCCAACGTGAGAACTCCGTTGGTTCGTTGCCTAATACACGATAATATTACCGTTTGCGTAAACATTTGGGCGTTCTTATCGCGAGAGAAAGAGCGGAAGAAGCCGTCTTTTATTCGCTCGCGAAATAGAAATCTCCTGTGATGGTTATTACGTATCGCGCCGGTTCGGCTGTAACATCGCGGCGCGGCGCGAAGTTGCGACAGCGTGGAGCGCTTCGGCTGCACGCTATTAGCGCCTTTTGTCTCTTCGGTTTTTCTCGCCGTGTTTATACCGTGCGTGCACCTCGCGCCGGATCGACCGACGCACTTTGCTCCGGTCGACACGGGAAATCTCGGCAGCGGAGTGCCGCTCTTTCATTACGCAACGCGATCCTCGCGCGCGTGCACCGATTGTGCGTTTCGTTCGCTCAGCGGGTCGTAATTCACTCGGCCGGGATCAATATCGCGGACTCGCGGATTGACATAAATGTTGTATCCAGCGGGAATTCGATATCGACTCCTACGTCGCTCGCTCGCGAAATGGAACATATCGCGTAGGTACATAATTATATAAGAGCGTCGTTTGAGCGATACTTGAATATTATTAATATTAAAGATTCCGTGAGAGAGAGAGAGAGAGAGAGAGAGAGAGAGAGAGAGAGAGAGAGACGCGCGCCAAGCGCCAATGGAGTCTCGTTAATTCCCATCGCGGGCGTGCGTGTTGCGGGCGCGCCCAGGCACGCATCCCTCAATTATCAAGGAAAATTAATTCGATCGTGGCAAATTGAGCGAATTAAGGTAACACGGCGGCACGCTTTTCATTTTGTCGCGCGCGCACACTTCAGCGCACGTCAAACTTGGCGGTGATATATCAGAGGAAACGTCACATATTTCACGCTCGTATATTTTTTGCCGATGAAGTTGTCGATCAAGAGGGGAAATAAATTGCGTTAGCCTTCGATTTTTTTTTCTTTCTACGTCCCTCCGTCCTTCCGCAGCCGCGTTATATCGATTTCTTTGTTTGCCCCCTCCCAGCCCCGAGTAGTCGCCTGCCGACGCGACGGATTGTTCATCTGTCCTGTAATCGAGATAATAAGTTTTTGCTGCGCATAAAGCGCGATATCGCTCCGTAGATTCCGCGGCGGTGCAGCTCCGCGTCCCTTCGGGGGAGTTAAATGCGTCGCGTCGCGTCTCGTCGCGTCTCGTCGAGTAACCGGCGTGCATTGACGGCGTGCAGTATCTCCGAATGAGTAATTGCATTCGTACAGGTTTGCAAGTTCCCCGCCGCGGCGAATATCATCGGGAGCGACAAAGTATCGGCTGTCCCTGTCGCTCGCGTGTTTGGCGAACGCATCGCCATGGTTACGTCGTCCCGTTGTCCTAGAATCTCCCCGCGTCGGGCATTACTCCGGCGTCGGTACCGCCGAACCGCAAATTATTTTATCGGTTACGCAAGCCGGGAGCTTGCGGCGAGCAAGAATTCAGAGGAGAGGCCATTCGTCGCTCCCGCAATATTCTTAACAGCTTCCGCCTCCGCTTCCTCTTCGTCTTCGATAACGAGCGTGCAGCCGTTTGCAGCGCGCGCGCGCGCGACGCACCGATTTACGCCATCGATTGTTCCACCGTGTCTTACGTATGTGTGAGTTCATGAGCCCGTCAATTGGGCCAACCTGCTCCAAGGCTGGACACACGGACAGGGCGACATCGTGGCGGCACCGATCCGCGAGATCTCGCGCGACGTCCTCGCGAACGAGTCGGTCACCTTCGAGCGCGCGTAACGCGCGCTCGAGTTTTGCTCGAGACGGACAAAACGAGCATGCGCGAATCGCCAAAGACTGTGCTGAATCCTGTCTTCTTGATTCGCGACTTGATCCTGCTGACTCGCCATTGTCCTTGAAATTTTTGTAGACCTGCTCTCTCTCTCTCTCTCTCTCTCGCAATTAAGCGCATTAACATTGAACGAAAGCGAATTTGCATTCATGTTGTCGGTCGCCTGTCGTGTCATCATGCAAGAATAAAAGACACCGTGCGCTTCCTTTTCGGGGAGGATGATCCTTTGTCCGCCGACGTGGAGTGCGTCATCTTGGATCACGGAGAAACGAAGGAATCGTCAGCGTATCACTTCGCGGAAAGAACCGATTCGTTCGTAATTACTAACGCGCCAGTTACCGAGCGGTAAAACCCAAATAGTGAGCAATCCCATGTAATATTAACAATGAAATGCGAATATAGTGCATCCGCGGGATAAATATTCATCTGATTGATCGGGACTCGTTCCGCACACTCATTTCGATCGCGCGGCCGCGGCCGCGGCCGTTCAACGTGCACCATCAGGAAGAATCTAGGAGCCGATTTCTCCAAAGTCGATTAACTTCGAGCGTAATCCAATCGTTCCTCCGTCCCTCTGCCTTTCTCCTTCGCGAGATTCTGTCTCTAGAAGAAGATGGAGAGACAATTGCGGCGCGATTAAAGTTAATCGACGTCGGAGAGGAATCAGCCCCGGAGCGATCGAAGAGAGAACTCGGATCCAGCGGATCCGCTCGATTCTGAGCTTATCGTTGCCGAGGATCGCGTTCCCACCGACCGCGACACACAATGACCCGGATTAAAGAAAAGCTGGCTAGTAAATCCTTCTAAATTTATATCACGCGCGCTCGCGAACGGCGCAAAAAAAAAATAACGGATTTATGCACGCATCTCGCTGTTGTTCCCAATAAAATGTGCAAATGAAAAAGGAATTCTCTTTCTCTCTCCTCCGTTGCGTGCGCGCGCGCGCGCGCGTCTGTGCGTGTGTGTGTAACAAGATCGAAAAAAAGATGCCGTTATACGAATAACGATACACGACTGCGCAAATCGCCCGTAAGGTTAATCTCGGCATATCGAAAGGGAAATAAGGTTCATCGTCGTGTTTACACTTAGAATTCTGAGAGAGGCAGGAAATGGCGGTTGAATTTCTTATGAGTATTTTCTACGAGCTCGCCGCAAGGCTATTTTATGAATTTTAAAACGCTCATCCGCGTATCTCGTGTATTTGTGGACGCGGAGGCGGCGGCCGTGGTGTGTTTCCATTTTTATACAG